TGTGGCACTGACCATAGGCTGGTAGTGGCTATCCTACAGGTCCACTGAACTGCTAAAGGCTGGGGGTGAACCTATGTCACAGGGCCTGCATGCAGTCTTGACTGCCAAATCTGGTTCCATTCCCCATTAATTCAGGGGTAAGGCAAGGCTGTGTCCTTACACCAACACCTGCATGGACTGGATAATGGGCAGAGCTACTATCCAAGGTCAGTGTGGAGCAACACTGGGCAATATCAAGGTCACAGACCTTGACTTTGCTGATAATGTTGCTATCCTATCTGATCATTGGTGGCAGCTCTTGATGCATTTAGCAATGAAGTGAAGCCCTTCGGCCTAGAAGTCTCCTTGACCAAGACTAAGATTTGGGACTTTGGGTGCCTGTTAGGGGGACCCATTCAGTTGATACATGCTTGTGGTGAGGACGTTGAAGTCACAGAGAGCTTTGCATACCTTGGTAGCATAGTCCATGTCTCTGTGCTCTGTCAGACCAAGAAGTCAGTAGATGGATTGGTCTGGCAGCAGGAGCCATGAACTTGATCAACAAAAGCATTTGGAGATGTCAGTACCAATGTAGAAGGACCAAGCTACATGTCCTCAAGGCCTTGATACTGTCAGTTTTGCTTTACGGAAGTGAAACCTTGACACTTTCTAGTACCTTGGAGTCTAGTCTTGATGGCTGTTGTTACAAGTCCATACACCAGATCACGGGGTACAGTTGGCAGGAACATGTGTCCAACTGACCGCTACACCATGAGACTGGAATGGGACCAGTTAAAAGCATAATCCAGGACCGCTAACTCAGACTATATGGGCACCTTGCTTGATACTATCAGTTTTGCTTTATGGAAGTGAAACCTTGACGCTTTCTAGTACCTTGGAGTCTCGTCTTGATACCTGTTGTTACAAGTCCATACACCAGATCACGGGGTACAGTTGGCAGGAACATGTGTCCAACTGACCGCTACACCATGAGACTGGAATGGGACCTGTCACAAGCATAATCCAGGACTGCTAACTCAGACTATATGGGCATCTTGCTTGTTTCCATATTGATGATCCAGCACATCAGGTTGTCTCTTTGCAAGATAATCCTGGGTGAAGGAAGCTCGTGGGACGACCTAGGAGGTCATGCTTTGGGCAGATTAACCAGTCCTGTAGGAGGAGCTAGAAATGGGCTGAGGTTCTGCCTGGAGACTCGCCATGTGGGACCCTTGTGGCTGGAAGCAAAGGGTGGATGTGGCCATACACACCTGTCAGCATTAGCAATAAATTATATAACTTTTAATGGGCTGAAAACTGAACCTGGGAACACCTATTGAAGAAGGTCTTTTTGCTATATGATTAATTCAGGGCATGATGGCCTGAAGATGTAGTATAGCAAAAAGGCTTTCACTATACTCGTGAAATCTTTGCTCTTTCTTTCATTGTTTTACCAGATTAAGCTATAATAACCATTCCTCCACCACTAGTTTGCATATGATGTACTGTACAATAAGAATTTCTCAGGGATGAGTTCAAAGGCATTCGTGAGTTTAGTGAAGACAATATACAGCTCCCTATTGGCATCTATGTTCTTATGTAGTAGCTATTGGATGATGAAGTTGGCATCTGCTATGCCTTCTAGCAAAATTCAATATGCATATTATCAATAGAGGTCTTTTAGATCTCGCATCACCCGTTTATTACTTCAGTACTAATCTGTACTAGAAGCCTTCAGCATTTTAGCCCAGCAGACTTGTCTAACTTCATTTCCTAGATTGTATTAGTGAACAATATTGTAGTGATCAGAATAGCAGTTCCTAGACCAGTGTTTTTTATTCTACATTTTGCATGGACATTAGTGAATAAAAAGTAATAAATAACGTTGGGTGATATTGGATTACACATGTGCTCGAGACCTGTGTGCCAGTATTTGGGGTCTTAATCATTCACTGCACCAGAGAAACTTGAACTCCTAAACACTAGATCAGTACTCAGGTACCATTGACCAAAGCATGTAGTGAGTGCATCAATATTACATAACTCTTCTGCCAAATCTTGATTAATCCATTTCACTTAGCTGATAATGTACACTACATTGGCATTGCTGGGACCGACTTCCAAATCAAATATTGGTTATATCACGAAGCTAGTTTAGATTTTATTTAGTAGATCTGCTTCTGTTAACATGCAGTGTCCCTCACACTGTTATTCAATTGTTCTTCATGTCATTCTCATAGAGAATCTTTTGCATTTAGTTTGCTATGATTTTGTTACAGTAACTTCAATTTTTCAGTTAATTTTTTTGCAGTTTTTTCCAGACACTCCTTTCAGTTTAGTATTATTACTTTGTAATTTAAAACAATTAATAGTAACTACTTTATATTGTATAGATGTTCTCTAATGAATGGCTTTATGATACTGTGCTAGTCTGGCTCTTATGTTCACATTTTCAGCTGACAGCTGTGTCTACAAGATGGGCAGTTCCCAAACATTTTTGCAAATTGAGTTGCAGTTCACATTTGGGTGGTGATAGCAGACACACTAAGATGGCATCACAGCTGGCATGACAGAGCAAGTGTGCCTATAGTGCCAAAGTCTAAAACCTAAGAACTGCTCAATTGGTAACACTGCTTTAGAAAGTGAGGGATATATGTTCAGTGGCGAGTGCAGGTTCAAAACTTGAACAAGGCTTAGTCCCACAGCGGGGTAAAATCCACTTTTCTTTATCATAAATTAAAACAGTACCTTGTACTAGTATTATTGGTGAATTCTTTTAGTCTAACTATGTAATTTTCTACAGAATTTGTCATTTTTGTTGTTCAAATGTTATGGCGTAAAAGTTGTTGTTGCATTAATACAGTAACTAAATTATGATTATCCAATAATTTTGATGTTGAAATTTCAATTTTTTAAAGAAAGTACAAGCCTCACCAATGTTTCATTTTTGGTTAATTGTTTCAGCAATAGGTCTATAAATCATCACTTACAAATAAAATTGGTAATATGATTTGATTCAAATTTTATGCAAGATCATTCTTATATCATTTCTTCATATATTATACTGCTTCTAACACAAAAAGGTCTCAAAGAGAAAATGGCAATGAAAAATGGTTCTCCAGTGTGTGGTTAATTTTGAGGGTTCAGGCAATTTTTCTTTCTTTTATCATATCCCAATGATAATATGCCCAACTTTGTAGAACCTTCAGGACCAAAAATCACTGTAAAAAAGGAATTTTATGTCTCTTAAGTTTGTTAGCTCATTGGAAAGAAATTATCAGAGCCTTATACTACATACTGCCACAGATAAAGTTTTCTGGAGTTTCATGTAAAAATATACCTTTACACAAATTGAATGCCACCGACTCATTTCCTTTTTTATTCTATTTCATTTTGCTTTGTTCAGATTGATATACTGAATTTTGATCAAGATATTTTTGATTATTTTTACTTTATTTTATATTCACTAGATACAGATATCATCTGAAAACAATAACTGTAGTTTTGCTACTTTTCACTGTGTTAATAATCTTATTTAATCATACAAAAAACTTCTGCACACATACTCAACTTTAATTTTTTTTGCATGCAAGATGCTTATAATTTGAGATATAGTTTCCCTGAGAGTTTTGGATCATAAGATTTACAATTACCATCTTTTGCCATTGTGATATATATGCCATGAGGATAATTTGGTCCATGTCTAACCTAACCCATACATACTTTATTATCAATATCATACAAAAAAAAAAAAAGATTTTTTTTTGGCATATTCAAAAACTTTTTTGTACACTAGTAGCACCCGAATTTCATTATCTTAAAAAAAAATACTAATAATCATTACAATAATAAATATAATAATAATGACAAAGATAATAAAAACAAATAGTATACTAAAATCAGCTAAATCCACAATTTACTAATACTTAAGCACAAACATACCAAATCAAAAGTTTTTTTTTTTCTTTTTTTTTTTTTTTTTTTGCTTATTTACAGAGTTGCTCCAAGAGACTAGGGCATTGATGCATCAGCTAAAACAACTATGACAAATATCAATCTTTGCTGCAAAACCTAGCTCATAATACAGACAGAGATTATTGTTTGAAAGAAGAGAAAGATAAAATGGAGAATACGATAACCACACTAAAATTATTAGTTAATTTTACAATAACTAAAACTATAATAAAATGACAAAGATAATAAAAACAAATAGTATACTAAAATCAGCTAAATCCACAATTTACTAATACTTAAGCACAAACATACCAAATCAAAAGTTTTTTTTTTTTTTTTTGCTTATTTACAGAATTGCTCCAAGAGACTAGGGCATTGATGCATCAGCTAAAACAACTATGACAAATATCAATCTTTGCTGCAAAACCTAGCTCATAATACAGACAGAGATTATTGTTTGAAAGAAGAGAAAGATAAAATGGAGAATACGATAACCACACTAAAATTATTAGTTAATTTTAATGTTTTTTTTCTTTTTTTTTTTTTTTTTTTGCTTATTTACAGAGTTGCTCCAAGAGACTAGGGCATTGATGCATCAGCTAAAACAACTATGACAAATATCAATCTTTGCTGCAAAACCTAGCTCATAATACAGACAGAGATTATTGTTTGAAAGAAGAGAAAGATAAAATGGAGAATACGATAACCACACTAAAATTATTAGTTAATTTTACAATACTAAAACCAAGCTACAAAGATTGTTTGGGCACTTTGGTAGTGAGTGGCAGTGTCTTAATATCTATACATACTTGTGTGTATTTACAGTCAAATCTCAAGAACTACACAGGAGATTCTCTTTGTCATTCCATTCAAAACTACTAATCATGGACAGGAAGACTATTATTAAACTGCTGTTAGGAATTCACTGTTATTTGTAGAATTAGAGATTTCTTGTTTCTGTATCTTATATACGTTCTTTAAAGAGAGAACTAACATATTTGCTAGACATTCTCCCTTTAATAAAAGTAAAAAAAGATTATAAATAAAATGTAAATGAGAGATATAAACAAAAAAGTTGAAATACTGTATTAATAATTATCAGAAACCAAAAATGAAATTGACAATGTTTATATTTATCGGTTTTGTTCTATCAACTTTACACAAATACCTTTTAAAAATCATTTTCAGTTCAACAACTGAAAGATAGTGTTATACACACAAAAAAAGGAAGAAAAAATATTTTAAAAAGTACAAATAAACACAAGTCACAGGTATACAACCAATTTATATTCATTCAATATCCCTGACTGTACATCTCAGTGTAAAGGGCTTCCTTAGTTTTCATTTCAGGAATTATGAAGTGCAGTATCTGGTAATAAATAACAGTGTTTCTAGGCATCATCAGTATCAAGAACATTTAAGTCTCTTGCTCCATAAGCTGATAAAAAATTGTTACTGAAGCCTTTTTGAAATTGTAGTAAAGTCATTACATCTGTAATCTTTCATAACATAAAAAATCAAATTTTCTTAGTTTTTCTTACTGTATTTCACAGAATTCTAAACAAGGAGAAATTATAAAACATGAATGACTTTGTATGGTATCAACAATGAGCCTGACAGAACATGGTTTCTCTTGAGAATCAGATCAGCGTCTCCCAGACTGACAGGTAGCATAGAATTCTGTCTTCCTTGATATGTATTCATGGTGCTCCTCCATGCTCACTTCCATTTTGCGAATTTCTTCTTCATAGTCTTCAAGAATTATCTCATTCTTCACAAATATTACCTCCATCTCTGTGAAATAAAAAAAAGAAAAAATACTGAGAATATGTTCATATGAATTATTTAATTTATCTTAGCACATTATAATTGAACCCAGAACTGGGTTTATGGGTTTTAAGAGCTTTCAAAATTCTAAACTCTTCATATTGTTTGTTTTACAAAAACCCTTTCACTTGTTGTTACAGCTTACCATAAATTGATTTTCTCTCATCCCACATCTCAAGCAGTGCTCTATCTTATCAACCATAGAAAACCAAGATTACCTGATCATAATTTATGGTCAAACCTTCTTTTTTAAAGCTAGGATGCTAAAAAAAAAAAAAAAAAAAAATCCCAGAAAAATCTGCAGCAATTTCAATGGAAATGAATGACCATAATAAAGTATAATGATCCTCAATGCTCCATATGAAGTAATATATATATCTATCTTTTGTTTGGAAAAATCAAAGTCCTAAATTAGATAATAATTATGGTCTGTTCCAGGATGATGAATGATATAAATTTTTTGGGGGGATTAACTTTCAAGTGTTAAATTTACAGCCCATGCATTTCTTCTTGCTCCTGCTTAGATAAGTTTGGTTTCTAGTGAAATGAAAAGAGGCTTGTTTTTTACTTGGCCTTTTGGTACATTTTGAATGGGATGAATTTTTAAGTCTAAATGTACTGAGTCGATATTACTTCAAACCACTCATCTGAATCATCTCAAACCAAAAGTGAGAGGACATGAAATATAAATGACTTGCTCAATTTGACATATTTTGGCTGCAGGGGCTGGAGCTGGAACTTTTTCTTATACTTCAGGGGGAGCTAAAACAAAATGTGTTTTTCAATGATGGAAGATGGAAGATGGAAGACAGTTGAATTGTGACAGGTCTACCAATCCCTGACATCACACCACAAATGTAATAGCAATAAGTTATTTATGGTGGTGTCTCCCATGCCTTTTGAAGCCAGTGTCTGGTTCTATAGGGTTAAACAAGCAAGTACAGTGATTTAGGAAAAAGGGTTTAATCATATTGGAGTTCTCAATACTTTTGCCAAGGACCTGAAAATCGATGGGCCCCATAAGAAATATATGATTTTATAGAAAAATGTCATGTAAGAGACAATGAAACTCCTTTAATCCATAAAGAAAGCCTGTATCCACTAAAATATTTAGTTGCCATAAAATGCCTTTTTCCATTACTTAACCCCTTGCCAATGGGGGATGGCATGTACGTACATGCCATGCCCATTGTGAGTCGACTTGTTTGATTGTTTTTACATATAGATGGCTACACTTGTACTAAGTCACCAGCGAGCCAATTACAAGTACTGCCTGTCTCGCCCATTCACCCTTTTCATCGATTTACGAAAATATTTAACGATATCCTAATTTGCTGTTAAAAATAACAACATATTTATAGCACTAGTAAGAATACTTTTTTTCCCGCCAATTCAAGGAAAGGTGAAATCAGGACTAGCAGAGCCATCTATGTACAGAGATATTTCACAAAAATATAAAAAAAGAGTACAGCATTTTCCCCATTTTTTATTAATTTTCCCCGGCGGCAATGGGTTAAAGGCAAGGCCTTTCTTATTGGGTGCAAGGAAAAATACCACTGACTCCTAATCCATCATTGCTTGAATTATCACAAAGATCTCCCAACACTACCATGCATTTATTAACCACATGCACTGTGGAAAATGCTGTGCTCATTTTATTTTTTTTTGTGAAATTTAGTTTTGCCACAAGTAGCCATCCTGCAGGACATACTGGCATAGAGCATGACAAGCCAGGTCAGAAAGGGCTGCATTGACACAGAGGACTCTCAAGACTAATTGGTATTAAGTCTACACTCCAAGCTGACACACAAATTTTTGGTAGGTAATGGTGGAGGTGATGGAGTGGAGGGAGTGACTGACTTCCATGGGGTTGCCAGGGTGGATTATAGGTACATGAAGTCAACTCAACTGATATTTTAGAATCACTATCATATCTGACTACTATCATTTTTGCACCAGACCTTAATCAACCAGAAAAATATCTTTATTTAATTCTATTCCCCTATCTTTTCTCATTGTGAGACACTTACCCTTCAGCATACTTAGCTTGACTTGAGCTTCTGATGCCAATTTGTTTGCTCTCTTTCGAAGTTCTTCTGCCCTTCGTCTGGCTTCTTCAGCTGCTTGGAACTTGATCTGTAGCTTTTCCTCTACAATCAAGTATTTCTGAAAACAAAAATTACTATTCTTATAAAACTTACTTGACAGAATGTAGAAAAAATAAACTTTACCTGATGTACTCATTAGTCACCACTGTCATTATAAGTCACAAAGTCACAAAATAAAGGATATTATACAAAATATTACATAAACACTCATTCTAAAATAATTCACAGAAATTGAATATTCTCTAGAAAATCCTAACTGTCACATTTTGTACATCTTTCTAATATCCCCACATGATTTGCATATGTCAAAGTACTGTCTGCCTTACATCTTCCAGCTGTTTTGCATCATTGGCTGCTCGCTGTGCTTTGAGATCTGCCTGGTTGACAGCAGCAGTCGTATCTTCAAGATGTTGTTGATTGATGATATACTGCAACTTTACACTCTCAACTCTGCTTTCTAGGTCCTGTACATCCCTTAGTGAGGAATTAGCTTTGGCCTGAGCTACACTGGTCTCACTAGCAATCTGGAATAGAATTCTTTGCTTTTTAAGTGTTTTCAAAGCTTACAAATTAAATTTCAATTAAGTAGAGTCCTGAAAGAAAGATCTATGGCAACTAATAACCTGCTTGAAACCTACCTGGGTAAGATGAGTCTGTGTGGCATCAATGTCATCACTAGCCTGCATGATAGCTTGTTCTGCAGCATCCTGTGCTGCGGTTGCTTCAGTGAGGGCTTCTACAACACGCTCTGCTACACCCAGTGTTCCTTCAGCCTTAACCTTGGCTCTGTCAGCTCTTTCTGATGTTAACATTTAAATAAGACTCACATTAGAAAAGATAAATATTTGATAAATATATATATACTTAGGAAATAGAACATATAATCTTCCATGACAGAAACTACAGAAGAAAGACACATAAGCAAGTACAGAAGATTTGGTACTATAATCTGGGTATACATCAATACACTATCTAGAATGGAGCATAATTAGGAGTACCTTTCAACTGTATTGCAAGGTCCAGATCATTCCTGGTTGCATCAATAATTGCATTAATGTTTGTTAGAGTCTCAATGGCAAGTGTAATCTTCTCTGCCAGGTCTGTAATCTGTTCTGGTTCCAAGGAGATAACGATGCTCAAGACCTGTTGATTAAATGCAACCAATGAAAAATAGTACTTTAGAATTTGGGTCCATTCTTTCTCAGCTAATCCATGCTGCTTCATAAGACTGAATGGTTAATCACAAGACAAATATCTATACTTCATACACACCTCTTCAGCTAGATCCCTGATTTCCTGGGGTTTTGCACCAGGTGTGCTAAAGTACTCCTCGATTTCTTCCAAAAGCTTGGTAATTCTTGCTTTGTATGAATCTGTTAAGTTACGGGAGCTGAAGGCCAGGTCATAGGCCATCAGAGCCAAGTCTGAGGCTATATCAGACTGCCTTTTAGCCCCAGAAATGCCTCGTAACAGCTCATCAACTGAGGCCTCCTTCTTCTTCAGCATTTCCTTGGCATCATCTGCAAACTTGAGGGCAAGCTCAGCGGTGTTTACGAGACCATTGTTACATGAGAGCCCTCCGCACTTTCCACAGCCAGCTCCACCACAGTAGGAATCACAAGGATCACCCCGTCGATCACACACCTACAAAAAGATAAAAGTACTAACAACCAAAATTGCCTATCATCATACTCCTACAAAAAGACCTCATTTACTAAATAATACTTTTTTGTTTCACTATCAAAATGTTGGGGTCCACGTGTGCTTTAACATAAAATACTACTTGGTTTTACAAAAAATCCTTTTAACCTATTACAGTTACTGAATAGTCAAATACTGCAGTGTCAATAATGCTTAACATGACTTCAAATATGCTACCTGCTTATTAAGATCTGGGATGCCTCGATACATTTCATCCAGCACATCTGTCATTTCTGCTAAGTTCTCTTCATTTCCAATCTGCGTACGGTTGAAACGATCTAAGGCATGCAGAAGAAGATTTTCAGTCCTGCGGCGAGAGCGCCTTGACTCCCCAACAATGACTTGAGTGAGCTCAACCTTCTCTTGGGCAACTCGTGACCTTTCTCCAGCCACCCTGGTGAGGTTGAGAGCACCTGTGGAAACAATGGGAGCATTTATTTTCTATGCTTTGAGTGCAATTTGCTACAACATTCCTATTTTAACTGTGAGTATTAAGAGGCACCGAAAACACAAAGTATTAAAGCTAATTTTACACTGTCAGTTTATTTAATTAAAAAAAGAAATAGCATAAGATTTGGGGCCTTGGTGTATTTCCTTTTTTTTCCATGCACCTTACAAACTCAGTCAAAACTGTAAGACAAAATGAAAGGATAATCCAATAAAGTATAAATGAACAATGTGAACACAGATACATACACATAGGGGAAAAAAGAGACAGACCTACAAAATCCCAATGACTTCCATCCATCCATGAACCAGAACCCATTATTGGCTACAGGTCCATATTACCCTCTCTTCCTACCCCCCCCCATGCACGAACCTTCAACATTAGCTTCTTGCAACTTAGTAGCTTTTTCTTTAAGGTCTCCTGCTTGATTCTTCAGCTCCTCTGCTTGCAATCTAAGATCTGCCAGGGCATTTGTTGCCAAAGAAATGCGCTGTGTAGTGTTATCCACACCATGCTCCAGGTCTTGAAGTTCTGATGCAGCTACAGTTAGGTTGTCACTGGAACATATATTGTATTTGAAATAGTGTTTGTTTCCTTAGCTTGAAAAAGCGGTAAAATGAAACTTAACTCTACATATCACAATATACAATAAACTTTTCATAAGACTTTTTCAACATGAAATTACTGCATATGCTCTTATCCTTTCAAAACCAGTACGTTTTTTCTACTGTATACATAATGCACTTACGTTAACTCAGAAATGAGGCTTGAGAGGGAGGCAAGATTCTGTGATGTTAGGTTGGCAGTTAGCAAAATGTTCTGTACATCTGCAATCTTCTCCTCCATTGACTCAAACTCATGACTGTATGCACCAGTTGCTCCTGTCTGCTTGATCTGTCCAGCAGCTGCAATCAGGGCTTCTGTGCGGTCTGAAAGTTAATTACAATGGAATTAATCAAAATTCATTAGAAAAGCAAAGATAACTATTGAGACAGATTTGCAAATGAAGCTACTGAAAACTTTTCTAAGTCTTATCTCATTTAACCCATTTAAAACTATATGCTCTGGCAAACCATGGCAGCGCGCCGACTTTGAGTGCGGGAGTTCGGTACATCAGGCCGAATCACCGGCTCGCCACGCTTTGGCACACCGCCGCGGCATGCAGCCGCAAGCCATTTTTCGAGCGGTTTGTTTTCACGACTACCGGCATCACCCGTCACGAAGGGGTTAAACTTCAGTACACCTAATCAATTTCATTGTATGCTGCAGGACTCTAGTTTGCTAATAACATGGGCTAATTTATTACATTATTTGCCAAATAGGGGAAGAAAGAGTATTAGGAAGGTAGTGATCATTCTATATTGCACAGTATATTGAGGGGTGTATGCCTCCTAAATTTCCCAGCTTAGATAGTTTTTAACTCTGCATGTCCCTCTATAAACTGTCAGTTGGTGAATCATACATCCTAATGGTCACACAGCCCCACTTCCTCACCTCGTAAATCGTTCAAAATAAGGTCCCAGTTGTCGAAGCACTCCCCACATGTCTGACAGTATGGTGCTCTGCCGGTGAATCCTCGGGCACACTCATCACACTTCACGCCCCCGATGCCCTCTCGACACTTGCAGTGCCCTGTCTCATGATCACACTGGAGAGTCTCTGAGCCTTCTGGGTTGCAGTTACAAGCTGAAGATAAAGGAGAGATTAGTTTAGCTAAAATTATTTACAAACAATTTTTTTATCAATAATTTTAAATTTATATTATGGCAAAACTAGCAATTAAAAATAGTTGGATTTTCATATGCATTTTTTTCTATATTGTAAAAATGAATACTAATTTCCTTAAAAGCAACGTACGCAGGCATTCAACACGTGGATTGCCAAAGAAATTTGTTTGGCACTGATTGCACTGCCGTCCACCAAATCCAGGTCGACACTGACACTGCCCATCAAACTGTTAAATGTAAAATCAATATTATAAGTAAAGAGGTTCATGATGCAACTCTGTAGGTGACCAAACCCTTTTTTATACACTCAGCACGAAAAAGTGCAACCAAAAAAACACTTTCCATGTATAATGATAATGATGATGGTAATAATATAGATTAAATAAACAATTAACCACACAAGGAATTTATGTTACAATATCTTAAATAACCTCTGATTTTCAATCTTGATTTAGAATATAAGGTGATATGAGCTAATAATTTTTAACAGGTTTCACAAACTTACTAGTGCCAAGGGATATAATATAAAAATAAGCACTTTTCACTCAAAAATCATAACTAATCACCCTAAAATCATCTAAGTTATCTAATTAGAAGACAGGCAAAATTATACATAAAAAATCTACATTTGCTATATCAATTCATATTTCAATGGTATGTTAGATAAAAATTACTAAAAATAAAAACAGACATCAATAAAACACACAAAAAGTAATCTATACATCATTATTCAAAAGCTTGATGTTACCAGAACCA